CAATAGTCAATAACTAATAATAATCATAATAATTAATAATAATAAAGTATTAATAACAATGATTAATAATTAATAACTAATAATAATAATGGTATTTAATAATATTAATAAATTAATAATAATAATAAGACGAATAATAATAATAATAATAATAATAATAATAATAATAAATCAATTAATATCTAATAATGATAATGACAATAATAATAATAATGATTAAAAATAGTTCTGAAGCTCGAATTGATTTGGGAAGAACCCGCAAATATATAAGAAAAATTTCTTATGAGATATAAATCAGATACGTCGAAAATGCTTCCGCATTTGTTGAGAACAACGACACTGTCCGTATACTGTAGCAATACCTGTGCAGGCTACCAGAACATAAAGAAGGAGTTCAAAGACATGACGGAGAACAGCCCAAGTCTTTCCACACTGAGGATTCTACGAAAACTACAACCTTTTTACAATTTTTTTTCGTCCTATATGTCCTCCTTTAAAGGAAGAAGTGAGACAAAGGTGAGGGCAAAAAGGCAAAAGCTTGAGCAAAAATATGATAGGTGAAGTTCATCGATACCTGTAAAATGGTGCAACCTCAAGCCTATCACCAGCGGTCACGCCAAGTAAACATTTGTTTATATAATGACTGACCGCTTTTTCTACGGTCGTCATCACCACACCCGTCACCGCCATTATAGGCTCCTTCGTTGTCACTTTCATCACTATCACCATCAACACAACTGCCATCATAAGCAACATCATCGTCACTATTATCATCGTCACAGCTACCAAAAGCTGTGCCTCAGCTAATGACGGCATTGACTCAAGAATGCAATATACAAATGAATGAACAGTGCTGTCATCTGCGCGTATCATCAATCTAAATATATGCCGCGCGACCGTGCTGCTACATTTATAACCAGCAAAGTTATTTGACAACTTTTTGAATGTGACTAACGTTTCCAAAAATTCAGTAAAATATTGAAAAAGAAAAAGTAAAAAGTAGGCATCATGTCAAATCGGTAACGCCATTGTGTAACATGAGTTCCATGGCTCAAACCCGTTTTAAAAGCTTACACTATACCGTCTTCAGCTTCTGAATGAGTAGCCGGAACCACAAAAAAATGTTCTTATCATGCGTATTTTATCCTTTTTTTCTTTTTATTTCTTTATTTTTTTTGCCTTTTTTTGCATTCAGGTTGAAAGAAACGTATCAAAAGTTGGCAGTAAAATGTTCGATATAAGTCCTTTACCAGCGACATCATTTTAGCGATTCACACAGAGAAAAAATTTTTGTACTTGAACTTCCGACACACTGTCATCACTGCTGTTTTGACAGATATTCGTCCACTCAGTCATCGTCTAAATAGATGATTATTAAAGAATAAATTTAAACCATCGCGCCACGTAGCCCTACCGCATCTCATTTTTTCCTCACCCTTTAAACCACAAATTTTTTTTT